ATTCTAGACCAGCTCTCTGGTTTGCTTGGCTTCAGGTCCTGACCCACCTTTGGCATATACCTCAATCACTCTCATCTTCAACTTCCTTCTCCCTAAAATGGGTTATTGTGCAGATCAAGAAAATAATGAGCCGGGACCGGTCTGGCTCAGTGGATAGAGCGTCGGCCTGCGGACTGAAGGGTCCCAGGTTCGATTCCGGTCGGGGGCGTGTGCCTGGGTTGCGGGCACATCCCCAGTGGGGGATGTGCAGGAGGCGGCTGATCGATGTCTCTCTCTCATCGATGTTTCTGACTCTCTGTCTCTCTCCCTTCCTCTCTGTGAAAAATCAATAAAATATATTAAAAAAAAAAAGAAAATAATGAGAGAAAAAAACAAAAACAAAAACAAAAAACAACCACCCCAAAAAAACAACAACAGAAAATGAGACAGCAATCCTTACCTGTTGAATAAGCATGCAACATTAATGATAACTGGTGTGTGTTTATAAAAAAATAGTTATAAGGCAAGAGTTAGTATATGCTCTAAGAAAGAAGGAAGGTATAGCAAACATTTTAGGGAGAATTTTGTTTGGAAACATTAAATGTTAACAATTATTAGGGAGATATATGATTAACACATTTTTTAAAATCCTTATGGAGGATATGTTTATCAATTTTGAGAGACAGCTGAAGGGAGAAAAACATTGATGTGTGACTGGGGAGGAGGAGGCTAGGGGACTGTCTAGGGCGGGGGGGGTGGGTCTTGCATTATTTGTGCTATTACAGACAAAGAGGGTTTTAGATTCTGGTACGTAAATATGTTTCCTGCTTATCCACAAGGGCAGGAGGCCGAGCATGGCCTGGCCACAGGCACAACCACAGTTCTTCACTCCTTCACAGGCCTCCATCCAAGGGCGGCGAGGCAGGCGCTTCCCACACAAAGGGGGCCAGGGAGCAGGGTCTGGCCGAAACCGGTTAGGGCTAAGCTTTTCTTTATTTCCCACAATGATCACATTTTACTTTCCTCACTCCTTTTCCTTCCTTACCTTCCTAGATGCCTGGCACACATTGACAGCTCAATACACATGAAACAATGACTTTGGGAAATGACCCAGACTGTAAAGTTTCTTATAAACTGTGTTTCTGGTCATGATTAGAACTGTATCCTCCTCCATGTGGGGAAGTGCCGGCAGGATGGGAACCTCTCTATTAACTCTATTTGGGGGAAAGAACCGGGCCTGGGAGAGGCCTAGGAGGGGCAATGTCTGGGGGCAGGGACACATTAGAGATAGAAACAGGAGGGGATGAAATTCTTTGGAAGTCCACTCATTCAAGGCTTCTGACCTGGGAATCGTGTGGTCTGAGAGCCAACGGGCTGGAACAGGATGGAAGCAGGTAGACAAAGGTTTTGTCAGTTTTGTTCTCTCGCCCCACCCCATCTCACCAGTATTAGGCTCTGGCAAAGTGGACCAACTCATTCAAAAGATTCTATTTCTATAAATTAAATAAAAACACAATTAAAATTTATTAGGTGATAAAACTTGGTTTCGAACTTTTATTAAAAAAATATATTTGCAAACATATAAAATTTAGGATGAAAAATGCTCATTTGAAAACATGTAATAACTTAATATTTGCAAACATACACAGATGGTATAAAATTCATACCATTAAAAATGTTAATGATGCAGTATTGCGCTCATGGAACAAAAATCTCGCTGTAATTCCAGAGCTCCCCTCCCCCGCAGTGTTTCGGGGAGCTGGGACTCTGGGACACTGAAAGTCACGACAGCCATGTGGCCAAAGCGGTGGTACAGAATAAAAACCAGTTAGAACACAGAATCACACAGGTAAAAGGGAAACACAATCTTGCATCTTCCCCACTCTACGTGAACGATATTGCATCTCAGCATTTAATGAAGGTATCAAATCAAATATAAAACCAAGTGAAACATTGCACACATCTCTCTTGCTGAAAAACAGGCTCCTTGAGGCCCCAGCACACTCAGGGACACAGCTTTCAAAAAGCCCAGTGTTAGCTGCTTTACTTGGTGCAGATCTTAACATTTTAGGCACCTGAAAACACAGGGCACAAGGTACTTTGAATACAAGCGAAGAAAACCGAAGGCAGGTAAGAGAGCAACACATGCTCAGCAGCAAATGTGCAGCGAGAACGCAGGACACACGACCCTGTGGTTCCTGGCCGTCACTCACGCGGACGGGGCCCACGCGTGCCTGCACCGCCTTTCGTTCCTCCGTGTTTCTGCATTTGCCCAGAGTTACAGTATGATGGCTGATTTTGTTTCTTTAAGCAGTTAGGCACCTTCAATTTCATGTTGCATTATTAGTAATACAATGGCAGTTATGGCCTCTACTACCAAAATGAGAAAATTTCCAACTACATTCTTTGGGGAGGAGAGTAATAAAGCTGCATTGTTTAAAAATATTTAACCAGAGGATTTGATGGGGTTTACAATTTTTATAGGAAAACATAGGTGGAAAAGGAACAAATGCTTGACATGCAAAACTGGGGCAGACATAGCCTACACAAAGCCTGCGCATCCTTAGTCAGAGGAGGACCCAGGTCAACTTCGGCTCTTCAACCACCAGGCGGTGACCCAAAGCCTCAGAAGGAAAGCGGTGGACACTCACATGCCGACAGCACGGAATGCTTCTCCTGACACTGACCGTCATTTGAAAACACAGGATTCCAAGTCACACCTTACAAATCTCAGGAGATGCACAGTGAGGAGGAGCTTCTGCCTAAGGAGTAAGGTCGTCTGGGAGTCCACTCAAAACAGCACATTAACCACAACAGGAGAGTGGTCACCCCTGGCAAGCCTAGCAAGAAGCCTCTCTGTTCTGGTGTCCATTACGATTCAACTAAGGTTCCAGAAAAGACACGGTAGCAATGTAAACACGCAACCCAAGCTAGCACGAGGTTCTGGACAGTGAGCCTGAAAGGAATAAGGCAACTGAACGGACTTCTGGGCCAGGATCATCTCACTGCAACTATCCAGGCTTGGCCCGACTTTCTTAGGAACTCATTCTGGCCCAAACTTCCAGGTAATCATAATGGTGAAGTTCTGGCTTCTGAAGTTTGAATACATGCTCTGAATATTTAAATTTAGGAGTTGAAACAGGCATCACCTTTTCAAATCTCCATGACTTGGGCACTTAAAATTTACTTTCACATTAAGGAAACCTTATCACAGATTCTCTTTTCCATCTATCATATTTATTCCCTTGGGTTAAAGGGTGAAAATGAACAGATTTGATTACAGACCCTCTTAGGATATTCTCTCTCAACTCTCCTAATATTATACATACTCAAATCACCATGTCAATTCAAATGTCTACTAATTATAACCAGAATCCCTTGATTCTTCTGCTTACCAAAGCCCACTGAGACTACTCTTGGGTGTGATCAAACCTACCGGTGCAACTGTTTTCTGAGAACAGTCGTGTGGCTCTGTGGACAGTCTCCTGGTGTCAGTAACTCTCTGTATCCTACTGTAACTTTCCCTTTCCCTGTGACACACCAGCAATTCACTTTTGGTTGCTGAACTTACACACTACCTTTGAAAACAAACTATTCCTAATTGAGTATGAGAACTTATAAGTTTTCCTGACTTTTGCACAATTCACAAATAACTAAGTAGATGCAATAGAAGACACTAAATTGAGAAGCAGAAAAGTTGCCAGAGAAGCATGTTTAGATGAATAAAGCCAATCAAACAAAGCATTCTTTATGCTAAAAAACTAAGACCAAACTAAAACAAGTATGCAATTCACAGGTAATTTTCTAAAATCTCAACTAGGAAACAAAATCTATGGGCTTATGACTGAGTTACCATTAAAGCTTAACTGATTGCTCCCGAGGAACTATCACATCTGTCAGCATTATTCACAGCTAATCCTTATGCTAGCTGGTTGGGCCACTAGGGTTTTTACCCAATCATTAAATAGTGCTCAGAAAAGTAAGCAGTGCATCTTAATTGGTTAAATACTACAAAATGACCTGTATCATAGAAACAAAAACATTTTCATTCAAAGAATATCTTAAAATTACTATTGCTGAAATAAACCCAAATCTACATTAAAATATTACTAATCACCATTACATGCCATAAAAGAATAAATATAAATCCTGGCAGATTAATAGCAGCATAACAAAGCATCTTTACATATTTTCACACTTTGGCTGCAAAAGTACTCACAGCCTGAATACATTGGTAAAGTTCTGAATTTGCTTTGCTTGAACTCTGTATACTACAATAAGGTAAGGGCAGTGTAAGTAACAGCTCCCTTTTCTGCATAGCTTCAACATTATTCTCAGTAGACTCGAGGAATGGAACCAGAATGGCTTTGTCAGATTGGTCCACTGGTCCTTTGTCAAAGTGTTAAGGAAAACAATCAACAAAGACCTCTGTGTTTACACAGAAAAGGAAAATAAGGCTATGCTTCACACACAAATGTAACGTTTTCAAAACCACTGGAGAGTTTAACTTAACGTGAAGATTTCTGATAGAATTTGAGCTTTACCAGCCTCAGCCTTTGCTTCAGAGGTGTGACGTGCCTGCTCTCTCGCCACCATATGGGAACGAACCTGCTGCATGTCAGCACTAAGGACTCTTACAAACAAAACACAATTTTCAGGACTTTAAAGGCCCAAATGGAGCACTCATATAAAATATATTTCACTTGAACAAACCAGTCCTAACTTGCCCATTTAAATTCTGATCCTTACAACTGGAAACGACACTGCACAGAGTTGGCTTCTGCGCTGCTCAAACTTGACTCTCAGCCTAATGCTCAGGTTCCTGGGGGGGACAGGGGGAAGGGGGGACAGGCTGGGCTGAACTCTGACTGCGGCAAGGCTGGGGACCCTCCTCCCTAAGACTTCGAAAGCGAAAGCAGTTGAAACTCAGACTCCTTATTTCACAGGTGCTTACAGCTGATGAAAACACCCACACAACTTAACACAATGGTCTTTTTTTTTTTTTTTTTTTGTCAAAACAAAGGTCTGCTGGTGATGCTTCACAGTGAAACCTCCATTATCACTGAGAACGTCACTTGGGAAACATTCTTAAGGAATGAGTCTCTTGCTCATAGGCTCAATTTCAGGATTCTAGAAACTCCATGTTCTGTTCAGAAGTTCTCATGATGAGGCCTATTTGTTTCTGAGGTTGACATTCTGTTTTCAGGCTGGTTTCTGCTCCAGTCATAGGTTGTGGTTGTCCTTGTTCTTGGTCAGAACCTGCAAGTAGACTTCATGAAGTGTACTGAGGAAGCTGGAGTCATTCTGGAAGAGATGGTAATGTCAGTTACCTCATCAGAGCTCACGTCCTATTTTTAAAAAAATATGTTTGTATTGATTTTTAGAGAAAGGAAGGGAGAGGAAGAGAAACCATCGGCTGCCTCCTACATACTCCCTACTAGGGACCAAGCCAGCAACCTGGGCATGTGCCTTGACCAGGTTGCAACCTCTTGGTGCATATGATGCTCAACTAATTGAGCCACACCAGCCAGGGCAGAACTCACATCCTTGATAACAGCTTAGGAAAAAGCTGTGTGAGTAACTAGTTATAAATGATTTGTATAGCTAGTTACCCATAGAATCTTACCATCCAGAAACACCATGATTAATAATTCACTCACATATTATTCCACCTATAAGCTCAGGAAGAGAATAACATTACTTCCATCTAGTCCTGCATTAACTTACTGACCTAATTTCTAAAACTTGTAATTTTTTAAAATTAAAGAATGAAAATTCAAAGACTACATACCTTAATTAGATGTATTAATGTATCCTGGAGCTGAGACTTGCTGAGAATAATGGAAGGCTTTCTCTGATTTTCCGACGTTCCAACTGTCAGGGGCGAAGGGGAGCTTGCTTTCCTCTCCAGGTCTGTGGCCCTGGTCACTGTCTGCTGGAAAACACTCGGGGACAGCAGCACTGAAGACACCACAGCGGTTGTTGCAGTAACCACGGGGGGACCTGCAACCTGCAGGGGAACAATGGTCATTACTGTATCAAAGTGCAGAAGCCAGCAGCCAGGCTCAAAGTAAGCAACACCCGATAACCCGATAAGCAGAAGGAGACTGGAGCAGAGTCCAACGCTAACTATTTGAAGTTCAGATAAGCATTTAGTAGAAGCATTTATGTCTGGTTAGGAAACGTGTCAGCTAAAGGATGAGGAGCCCATTTATGTGTTAAGAATTCTGTAGAGTTGTTATGAGAAGCCAAGTCTGATCACTAAAGGGGAATATGATGAATAACCAGCATGGTATGTACACACAGAAAGAACAATCCTATGATAAATTAAAATGTAAATTTTTTAGGGGGGGGCAAGAAAATGACTGAAAAGAGGACATGAGAAAAAGTTAGGGATGATGGCAATGTTACATATTGTGATTGGGTGAGGTTACTCGAGGGATAGACGTTTGTTAAAACTCCTAAAAATCTGCATTTTAGTATATGTAAATTTTACTTCAAGAAGAGAATTAAAAAAATCCAGTTACATAGCATTTGTTTCTTTTGTAGTGTTCAATATGTTTACTATACTACTGCTGGTATCAAAGATAGAATTTCTTAAAAATAAAACTAACTCTACCTCCTTCCCCATTTTGATGTGGTTCTAAGCTAGTAATGGCTAACCATCAGAACATATTAAGCTAAGAATAATCAGTTTTAATAATTCTCATATTTGCTATAATCAACAAGAGATCTACATTTCTCTATCTGCCACCCTCCTCATGTACAAATAGCAAAGAGCCTGACACAGTTTTGTGGGTATAATTTTGGTGTCTGAGCCACTTAGCTTTTTTTGTGTGTGCAGCATCAGGCTGAGAGATCCCGCCAATCACCATGTAGCAGGACGAGCTACAGAAAAGACTGGCTGACAAGACCAGTCAGAAGCTGGCTTTAGTGTAAAATCTGAGACATGAGGCGAAATGAAAAGGCTCAAAGGCAAATGGGAATGTAAAATTTTAGAAATGAAAAAAAAAGTGCATTTTCAAGGTTGGCAGGTAATTGAGGTGAGGGCAATTTTTAAAAATGGGGCAGGGGAGGATAAACAAGACAGAGCGCACAGGCCTGGAGGCTTTGTCGTCAGGGCAACGGGAAGCCAAGGAGAGCACTGGCAGGCAGTGTCACTGCCCTTTGCTAACTGGGACATCACAGCTCTTCCAGGGCAAAGCGTATTTCCTACTCAGAGAAGCAGGCTGCTCTGCTCTGAGCAGTCACCCCCCATTCACAAACACTGAGCAAATGTCTGCCCTGTGGCTGACCCTGCTCGTGTACAGTCAGGGAAAACATCCACACAGCGATGACTCGAGTCGGCAGAGGCCACAGTAATGAACTGTCTGGGGTCGCAGAGGAGCCTGGCCTACGAAGGGTATCTATGAGAGTCTAGCTTGAAAGCCATGAACTTTTCAGTCAAGTACAGTGCTTTACTTCACACCCAGGACTTTTTGTTGTTGTTAATCCTCACCTGAGGATATTTCCCATTGATCTTTCAGAGAGAGTGGAAGAGAGGGAAAGACAAACATCAATGTGAGAGAAACACAACTGGTTGTCTCCTGCAAGAGCCCCAACCAGAGCCCGAGTCGGGGAGGAGCCTGCAACCAAGGTATGTGCCCTTGACTGGAATGGAACCCGGGACCCTTTGGGGGTCAAGCCCACAACCCAGCCTATGCCCTGACGGGGAATCGAACCATGACCTCCTGGTTCATGGATTGATGCTCAACCACTGAGCGACCCTGGCCGGGCCATTTTAGGGTTTTTTGTTTGTTTCTGCCTGATAGTTACAGAAGTCCTCATTTGACAGGACCACTCAAATTATCCCAAGCTTTGTTCAACTCCCAACTCCTTCAGTCCTCATTCAGTGTCTACCTTGTGCAGGCACACTAGGGTGCCACAGAGCATCCCAGGTTTGAAGCTTATTAAATTGTCACTTTGGGCCAGTTCTCTTGAGGTTCTCTGCAGCACAAGGGGGAAGGAGAGTGTCCTATGTAACAGGTCTTGTGCCCTAAAATGCGTTTGCTGCCACTCTTCCTGTTGCTGTGGGAGTGCAGCCTCAATCCTGAATGCCTCCTTTCAAGGGCAGCATATGTATGTGTATTTTCTCAGTTACCTGGCAGTATCTAATTTTAGGAGCCGGGGCTTCATTGAGTTCTAATGTGTGTGCTCTACAACTAGAAGTTCTTTCTCTCCCAGTGAATGAGGACAAGACTTCGCATGTGTAAGCGTGACTCTGGATAAGGGCCATTTAGTGCTACCTGTCCAAAATTTAAAGTGCCTCATCCAGAGGTGTGCTGCCAGGACCTCGCACATCTGCAGACTCAATAGAAACAGCAGCTCTTACAAAAGTCACAGGTTTCAGTTTTTTCCTCAGACAGTTAAGGCTTTGCATACAGCTCCTTGGGGTATGAAGAGGGTCAGAATCTGTCTTGAAGCTTTCATCCTGTTGCATCATCAGCTACACTGTCACAAGTTCCTGCCAGCCTCTTCCATCAGGAATCTAGGACTAGTTGCTAACGTTTCCTATTGCTAACCTACAATTTTCCTCAGTAACTAGGAAATCCTTATTGAAACGTGCTACATCTGTTCATCTCTCTTTTTTTAAACATTGGTCTATGCAGCAAAACCAGGATCCTGAAGTCTTTGCCAAAAGTGTTATCCAGTGCCATCCTGATAAGAGCTCCCATTTTCTAAAGAACACAGTATGTGTAAGTTCTGCTGGGAGTGGCCCTAGCAGGTTTGGCTTAGTGGATAGAGTGTCAGCCTGTGGCCCAAAGGGTCCTGGGTTCGATTCTGGTCAAGGATATGTACCTTGGTTGCAGGCTCCTCCCTTGCCTGGGCCCTGGTTGGGTTTGTGCAGGAGGAAACCAATCAATGTGTTTCTCTCACATCAATATTTCTGTCTTTCCCTCTCTAAAAATCAATGGAAAAATATCCTTGGATGAAGATTAAAAATAAATGAAATAAAATAAAATGACTCTGTCTTGCCCTGGTGGCGTGGCTCAGTGGTTGAGCATCGACCTGTGAACCAGGAGGTCACAGTTTGACTCCAAGTCAGGGCACATGCTGGGTTGGGAGCTCGATCCCCAGTGTGGGGCGTGCATGAGGCAGCCAATCAATGTTTTTCTCATCTATGTTTCTCTCTCTCTATCGCTCTCCCTCTAAAATCGGTAAAAGCATATGGTCTTTCCAGTTCCCCCCACTCGGTTAAAGCACCACCCTCCTGCAGTACCTGAGGAGGAGCAAGCACCATGTTGCTCAGGGCGGTGGAGGCTCTTGCTGCTGCTGTCTTAGGAGGAGGCTCTATGAAGCTCTCAGGTGTGGCCAGCTGGCCAGCTGCTGGAGGAAAGCTGGGTGCCACTGCACCCTTCCCAAGCGACTGTGTCTGTATTTGGTCATGCTGTGGGGTCAACCTGAGTTTCTGGAGAAGATCAACACTTGGGAGGGTTGTCCCAGCAGTATTTGTCAGGCTCAGAGGGGCCCTGAAGGGGCTCTGACTGGCAGTCAGACTGGCATGGCTCAGCTCGGGGACTGACTGACCCAGGAGTGGAGACCTCTGTCTTGGCGTGGTCTTCACTGCCTGCATCATGGTGGTGTTTCGGGGTAAGCAGGGGGGAACCTGTACAGGAGCTTCTGCTGGTAGAGTGGGGCTGAGCCCAGGGTGCAATGGGATCGCATAGCTTGGGAGCTGCTTTTCATTGGACTGTGAGATGGAGGCAGGAGTGATTAGCACCGGGGCAGTGACTTCAGGTTGGGCTGAGTGGTGGGCAGCGGGATGGGCACCCGGGTTTTCTGACCGAGGAGTCCCTCCTGACTGCTCAAAGGAAAATGGTAGGAATGAGCTGAGTTCTTTCTGAGGGGCATCTCCTGGCAGCTTCTCCACTTCTTCTGAATCCAGACCCACAACTGATGGCTGTTCCTTTGGCAAAGAGGTTCCAAACAATTCTTCCACGGTCAGGTGTTTGTGTCCTGATGGAGCAGACTGGAAAACAAACAAAACCACCAATGAAAGACATCTCTTGCAAACCAGTGTAACCACACTTTTTCATCAATCAAAAACAGTGTGCAGAAGCAAGGACGGATGGAGTCTGAAAATAAGAAAATGGAACAAAGTGAAGATGTACCAGTGATTAAGGCCAAGATGCATCTAGTCTCCCCAGGTTGGTGGGTAGAAATCTACATTAGTAGCCCTGGTTGGGAGCTGAGTTGGTTAGAGCATTGTCCCGATACACCAAGGTTCCTGGTTTGATCCCCGGTCAGGAGGACCATCCAAGAATCAACTAATGAATGAATAAATAAGTAGAACAACAAATTAATGTCTCTCAAAAAAACAAAAACAAAAACAAAAAACATGCACTAGTAATAAAATTCAAATTTTAGGGACTCCAGATAATAGTGTTAGAGTTCACTTTTTTCCTGGGCAAATGACTAATATGAGGTGAGGGGACAATTACCTTATTACAAAGTTAATTGTGCCTATTGCCCCATGTCAGTAACACATGTAAGGAAATAACACTCAGGAGGACAGAGGGACCAAATGCTGATCAAGTAATCCTACTTTTATTTTGACTACTCTTGATACAAAGCTAGGCATTGCACCTCGGCTGGGTCTCAAATATCAGAAAACAAATGTAATCATTAAAAAAAAAATAGGCCTTTCTCATTCTACTCCCAAGTCACAAAATCTTCAAAAAAAGCCAAAGCATTTGCCTGGCCGGTGTTGCTCAGTGGACTGAGCATCGTCCACAAGAACCAAAAGGTCACCGGTTTGATTCCCAGTCAGGGCACATGTCTGGGTTTCAGGCTCCATCTCCAATAGGGGGCATGCAGGAGGCAGCTGATCAATGTTTCTCTCTCACATCATTTTTCTCTCTCCCCGCTTTGTCAAGGAGAGACAACAGGAGAAGAGGCCAGTGCTGAGGACAGAGGATGCAGGCAGTTTACAAGTGAAGGACGTGTCAGCTGCTGGGTGAGGTGGCAGAGCAGGTTTGAGGAAGATGATGGCAACTCCAAGTAACTGTTGTTGAGGAAGAGGCAGGAGCCTCCCCAGCTGTAAAGAACTGAGATTTCATATCAAACAATTTTATCTTAGAATATACTCAATGAAGAGAATTCTTATTAATTTTTAAAAGCTAACATAACATATTTTGAAAAATTAATGTGACAAGAGGTTTGTTTAAGTAAAGGAATTCTCCAGTGGCAAATAATTATTTTTCTCCTCTCTCTACCACCCTACCTATAGTCCCTAATAATCTCAATTCTACTGTTTCTATGAATTTGCCTATTCTAGATACCTTGTATAAGTGCAATCATACAGTATTTGTCCTTTTAGGACTAGCTTATTTCATTTAGCATGTTTTCAGGGTTCATCCATGCTGTAGCATGTGTCAGAATTTCATTCCTTTTAAGGCTGAATAATATTACACTGTATGCATATATCACATCTTGTTTACTCACTCATCTGATGATTGACACTTGGGTTCTTTCCACCTTTTGGCTATAGTGAATAACGCTGCTATGAACATTAATGTAAATATATCAGTTTTAGTCATAGTTTTCAATTCTTTTGGGTATATGTCCATGAACTGAATTGCTGGATCATATTATAATTCTACACTTAACTTTTTGAGGAACTGCCAAACTGTCTTCCACAGCTGCTGCACCATTTTACGTTACTTCCAGCAGTGCAAGAGGGTTCTAATTTCTCCATATTCTTGCCAATCTTTGTTGGTATTTGTTTATCTTATTAGGAGAAATGTCTATTCAAGTCCTTTGCCCATTTTTGATTTGGGTTAATTCCTTTTTATACACATTATGTTTAAAACAAAATGATCAAGATGCCTGGCAAAAAAATGTGCTGGAAAACTACACTGATTTTTATTTATTGATGCAAATTACGTAGATCTTTACCACCACATTCTGTTATATATGTATATAGATTTATATGTATGGAGAGAAACCAACATTTAGATATAACTGCTTTAAAAAACATAGACCATATCAAGGCTATTTTCCAGAAATTTAAGTCTTTCCCAGGTAAGAATACTATTTTTAAGTTATAAGAAAAGGAACAATAGGACATGGAGAAGCCTCCCCATGAAATACACCTTATGCTTCAAGAATGTCAGGATCTAGGCAGCAATTTTTACCTGCCTGGTGGACCATCAATCAACTTTTAAACTAAAACAACCTTTATTTACATTTGGAATGTTTCTACACTTACACTTAAAAATAGCTATTTCTAATGATTTAAAACCTACTTCATATTAACAAAATAAAGCTATATGGCGA